TGCTTATTTTGGCTTAATTTCAACGAGACCATCCATTACAGGCTTCTGCTGGCATGGTTATGTTTGCAGTTATAGCTTAATTTGCCAATTGGGACTTAATCAGTCAGCAACCGATCTCATGACATTTAGGCGGAAATTATCAAATGTGTTTTTGGTCGGGATATTAATCATCTTGCACAAAATCCCATGATATGTTACATCTGTCAGAATGCTGGCCTTTGAATGCGTCTCCTGTTAGCCATCTTCAAAATCCATGCTCTGTAGAAAAGGGACATATTTAATACTGCAAATTTTTCATATTGATTTTCGGTGTTCTTATAAACTCTAATATATGTTATAGAAAGCAGTCCTTAGCAAGTCATGCCGCTTTCAAAGCGCATGCTCAAAAGAAAGGTGCCTTTTGTATTAAAAAGTTTTTTTAAACCTTAACTTATTTTGAGCCCGATTGGCCGTTAAACATGCGTCTGGGACCTTTAGTCTACATGCTACGGATTCCCTGTGTAAGGTAAATCACATATTCCTCCATACCATGGAGAGGATACCACTTTGCTCTCGTGAAATTTTGAGGTAAATGTGTTCTGTGTTGTATACTTCATAGGATGTATCAGTAAGCGGGCCAATATGAGTTTATTTAAGTGGAAGTTCTAAGGTACCAAAAGATTTAACAGTAAGAAACCTTTTAGATCAGGCAGGTACCTGCCGTTCTTTTATGAAATTTTTAGATGATGCAACTTGCTACCAAATGAATGAAAGGGATTTTTTGAATTCGTTTTTTTTAAATCGAGTTAGACTTATAAGTATATCAAAAATGCATATAAAAATCACTGCTATTCAAATAGTTAATTTCTTTAGAATGCAATGCTTTCAGGTGGTAACGAAATATACTCAAAGACATCATCCTGACGTGTGCAAAATAGCATGGATTTATGCGCACGACAATCAATATCACAAACCTTCCCAGGTCATCCTTCCTTTTTAAAAACGCATTTCACAATTTTCGCTAAAACGACATGGGATCGGTCACCGACTGCATATGTCCGCTGACATACACCTTTGGGGTTATTTCGGGTCTTGTCAAACGGGAACTTAATTGATAAGAGCTGGCGGCATAGATGTGAGAGGATCGAGGCCGCTTTTTTTCAAGCTTGTTAAACCCCTACTTGATTAAGCATAATGATCAAAACCACAGTTGATCAGAAAAAAAATATATTTGTGCAAGTATGGCGTAGAAGGAGCACAGACGAAATAAATGAGATACGTAATGAACATTTGCTTTTTGCTCTCCGATCTTTCGTCATAAATCCGCCACGCATAACTAAATAAAATGGCGCGCACTGATCCGCTAACTAATCTTGTGGAATTAGATTGTTTGTGTATGGCCTTGAATCGGTTTGCGTCCCTTTTCCTCTGAATAGCTGCTTGTATGATGCTGCAGAGCAATTGAGAGCACACAGGGAATCAGATACCTGGCTGCCGTTGAGCTCATTTATTCACTCTGTAGCCATGGAATTTCTCGTTTTCTCTAGACGACTATTTCTTCATTTCTTGTTTAGAAAAATCAGACTATGTTAGATAGTTTCCCAAATACTCTCAACGGAAGAGTTTGCAAAATTTACATTGATCCTGATGTTTTTCTGAAGAAAACTGGTGGCCATTAAGAACGGCATCTTTACTCCGAAACAAACTTTCACTCGCAATTCTGCATTTTGGATCATTTAAAATATCTTTGCCGAAAGTCAAAATGACAGGACATTATAATTAGGAGTTTTATTGGGAAGTGATTAATTAAACGAAAGATTTTTAAGTCAATTCCAGTTAAAATATTATCTGTCGACCGTACTCGCGTATGACACGTTTGCAGAAAACCGTATATGCCGGTTTTTGTATTCGTCAGGCGGAATGTGATTGTTAAGGGAGGGTGATTTCTTAGCACTAGGAACTGCCCAAACACGTCGCTGGTCCCCGGTTCACAGGCAATTGCAGATTGACTGACCCGCATAAGTCACAGTTTATTTGGAAAAGTAAAAACGCTACTTCCTATACTGCGTTCGGTCTTTTTGAAAATACGCTTACACCACGGTTTTGTATGTTACATAAGGGTTTTTTCAACCTGATTTATGCAGTCCTCGATTTATTACAAGTGTCTTCTGAATACGCGTTTATTTGTAACGTGTGCTTTTCAAAGCAGTTTGACAACCTCCATTTCATATCGATCTTTATTAAGCAGAAAACTGGCAACAGTTCTGATAACTTAGCAAGCGGCCATCTTTTGTAAAAAGTACAAAGCAACGAACGAACACTAAGTAGAATGACCCCTTAGAGGGGAACTGCACTGTTTACTTTACACAGCACACTACGCAACTCGAGAAGGAAAGTTCATGATTTCAGACACTAGCGCAAATGGAACACATGCCACTACTCTTGCATAAAAGTTAGTAGGCTCACGTTTTTAGCAGAAACAGTTGGCGACTAGAAATACTTCCGAATTAACGTAACCCGTAAAAGAATATAATCAAGTTGTCTAATGACAAAGCAAAGAATATTGCTTGCATTTCATTTATTTGTGAATATTTCGGGAGTATGCAGTCAAGAAACTTCATTAAAATATAAAGACGATTAAATTGTTCAATATTTAGACAGAGTTTCTAACTCCATAATAACCCTTCTGCAAACGTCGTTTTGCCCATTGTTCTGCATTTTCTCTACAGCGACAAGGGCTCAAGGCTTCTACTGGACGAATATACTCATCAAAACGAAATTCCAGAGCTTTTGCGGTTCCAGAAACGGACGCCAGATCTGTGAATGAAACATATTTTTCCTTTACTGAAATCTGTAAAGCGAATGCATCAGCGATTTAGCCGCGTAATATGCGCGACAAACAAAAGTTGTAATTTAGTCTGGATAACTCAACAATTTACAGAAAAAAATAGAAAATTCTATTGACTCAGTTTTAATTGCAATTTTTTGTACCTTCTGATAATAAACTAGGTAACGCCTGCGGTGCAAAATGCGTCGTAAAAAATTTCTCCAAGGGAAAGAATTTTTATACAGGTAGAAGTGCATCTAAATACAAAGGACAAAATTAAAATTGACCATATTTTTGAGATGATATCGGGTTGAAGCTTGAATACTCGTTGGAAGCGATTAAGAGTTAAGTAACTATGAAGAACATCCGTAAATGCTTCCTTTTAAGTATACATTGTGGATCAGATTGTGTTTCATTTTGGTTCATAAGGAATGTCAAAAATAACAAAACGTACTGCCCCTAAACATACGCAGGTTCCTCTAGTAATCAGATAAAAGAATTTAGGGGCCAGACCTTAGCGGATGAAAACCTTAAGTAAAGGAAATACACCAGCAAATATAATTTTAATGTTTATTTTGAAATTTTAAGGAAAAACGACACTTTAGGTAATGTGATATAAACAACGCACTCCCATTTTGCTACGGTCTTCGTTTTATCAAAACGAT